GGGCGCCAGGGCGCTCGTGGGTGCTCAGGCGGCCCAAGGCTGCCGCGCTCAGCCGGCTCCGACCGGGGCCGAGCCCTCAGTCACGGCCTGCGGGGAGGCTCTGGGGGCTCCTGGGGCATCTCTGCCTCCCACCTGCTGGATGGGCTTTGGGGTGGGGGGCCCCCACGGAGTCTCTAGGCACCCAGGCAGCAGCACCAGGGGCCGCCAAGCGGGCGCCCCACCACCCGCGCCGCCCAGCTCCCGGCCTCCCCGCTCCTGCTCCCGGTGGGCCGTTGGAGAGCTCCTGACACGCGGGTCCAGGCGGTGGTGGGGCGGCACAGCCCCAGCAGCTGAGACCCCCCACTGCTCGGCGGCAGACGCTGCCCCGGGCGGAGCGCCCGCTCCTCCGAGCCCCCAGCCCGGCGACGGGGGCGGCACCCACCTGTGAGGATGGCCACGCTGTGGAAGCAGCCGTCCAGCTTGCTCAGCAGGATGGAGAGGAAGCTGTCCGCGGCCAGCACGCTGGCGTCCCGCGTGCTCTGGTCATAGACCACCACGTCCTGCGGCTCCGTGGCCTCCACCTGGGGGCCACGAGGCCAGAGGTCAGGGCGCCGGCTCCTGGCCCACAGCTGGGCGGGACCTGCGGACACTCGTCCCTCCCCGGCCGCGTGGGGCAGATCAGAGCTCCCGTGAGGCCAAGCGGCCCCCTGTGGCAGGGTCGCCCCCGCGCGGCCCAGGCGAAGGACACCGGCCCCCTCGGGGCTGGGGCTCGGGCTCGCCCAGCTATGGGGAGATCGAGGACTGGGGCACGTGGCCCAGGAGGCGCCACGGAGCCCAGAAGGGCAGCTGCCCGGCCCTCGGCCCAGGCCAGCGGGCACCAGCCCGCGCGGCCGTCACCCGCGGCAGTGGGGTCCGCCCCGCGGAGTCCTGGGTTCCCCTCCTTGGGCTGCCGCCGTGCTGGGCTTTGCTCGGGAGCCGCCCTGCCTCAGGCAGGGGACACCCCCAAGGCAGGTCCGCCTGGGCCCTCTCGCATCCAGCTCTTGGGGCGCAGAGCCCCACAGTCGCGAGCGGCCTGCGCCGGGGGCTCCACGCTCCGGGGGCCGCACCGACAGCTGCCCTGGCCAGTCCCCGGCGCGTGGCTGGCCGTCCACGTCCCCCCAGGCGGGTGCCCGCTGAGCCCCCGGCTGGGGGCCCAGGCGGGGGGCCACGTCCCGGTGGGGGTGGAGGCCCGGGGGGCGGAGCGAGTGGGCGTGTACCTGCGTGCGGGCGGCCGGCTGGACGAGCTCGGCGATGGTCACCGTGGCCTGCTGCAGCCTGCGCCGCACCAGCTTGGAGCAGCAGATGTTGACGGAGCGCAGCACGTGCCAGCTGTCGTACTCGGCCCAGGGGCGGCTGTCGATGACCAGCGGCCCCCCGGGCCCGCCCCGCAGCAGGCTGGCCAGCTTCTTGGCGTCCATCACCTTCCGGGGCAGCCGGTCCCCGGCCATGGTGGGAGTGGGCGGGGTGGCCCTGGAGAGCCTGGGCCTACAGCGCTGAGGGACCAGGCATGGCGCCAGACCTGCGGGGGGCGCCAGTCAGAGCCAGTGGGGGGCTGCGGGGCGCCTCCCCACCCGGGGCCTCCTCCCTCCGGGCATCAGCGGCCCCTTGGCCTCTGGAGTGAGGACACCCCCCAACATCCGGGTGCAAGCTGGCGTGTGGGCCCCCAGGAGAAGGCCTGTCGCCCTGCCAGGCTCTGGGGGCACCACGGACCCGCCCTCATCCTGGAACACGGCGCCGTCCCACGGGCACCAGCCAGGCAGCAGGAACTCGCGCGCCCCTGCAAGCCCTCGCCCAGCCGGTCGAGCTCCCGGGCTGCCCACAGAGCCCCTGCGAGTGGGCCATCCTGCCCGCGGGGGTAGAGCGGGCACCGCGGAGGGGTGGACAGTCAGGGCTGCCTCCCCATGCCCAGGGCCCTGGAGGCAGCGGCCAGGGCAGGGCTGGGCCTGTGCGGAGGCCCCACCCTGCAGGCCGGGGCACAGGCATGGGCCTCCGCGTGCCGGGGCGGCGCTGGCCGGGAGCGCTCAGGGCGGGGCAGCCCCAGGACAAAGGTCAGGGTAGGACCGCACCTTGGGCCCTCACAGGCGCTGGGCCTGGGTCTGGCCTCTGGGGCCGGGCATGGAGAAGCCTGAGGCCCCTTCCATGTGGTCATCTGCCAGGGGTCACCTGTCCTGTCGCCTGCAGGACAGGCCCTTCTTGCAGGCTGCGCGGCCCTCTAGGGAGCCACAGTGTCAGGAAATGGGCCGTTTTAAAGCCAGGGATGGCGGGACAGGCCAGGTCACCCCAAGGAGACTGGCCAGACGCGAGCCTCGTGGGCTGCGTCCCCTCAGCTGTGCAAACCCGCTGGCGTGGGCACAGGCGCCCCCGGAGCTCACGGCAGCAGCGTGGGCATCAGGCAGGTGCCCTGAGCCCAGCAGGCCGTCCCCGCCCGGCCAGCGGCTCCCAGGCAGCCCTGTCCCTCCGGGAAGTGGGTGCGAGGGGTGCACAGAGCCCCCCCGGCATGAGTGGTGCCTCCTGGGGGAGGCTGGGGGACTCCAGGGCAGTCCCGCCTCCCACTGAGGGCCCCCAGTTGCAATTTCTGTACAAAATGTTTTGGGGAACCCTGACTCTCCCCTGGAGTTCGTCAGGCCTTGTCCCCCAGG